AAAAAAAAAAAGATTGTAGCAGGATTAACCTACTTTTTTCCTTGCCCTGAAAAGCTGCCAGGGGATAAATCTTTGCACCAGGAATCAAAAGGTTTAAGACTGCAGTCCCGGATCAGCCACCAAGCGGAGCTGCTTCCCTGAACCGATCGAATTCTTCTCAGGTTCCAACACTCAACTGTAATGGAAAGAGTTTCAAAGGACAGTGTCCGGCCCAGGGAGCGCAGGAACCAAGAACAGGAACCCACGCTCGCGTCTTCCGGTTCCCGCCAGCGCGCGGCGGCTTACGGCAAGGCCCTGCACGTACCTGCCCTGATGCGGGTTCCCCGGCAGGGCAACCTCTTAACTACCGTTTCTCTGCACCTTGGAGTTTTCTTCAAAGACTCTCCCGAGCCGAGCTCCGCACGCAGCAACCCAGAGGATCAGTTCCGCATACCTCCCAGGTAGCCCTGCAGCAACGCCGACAAGTCCCCGGCTTGTTGCCGCGGCAACGGGCCTGACGACGGTGCACGGCGAGGGCCAAGCCACCTCCTGCGCGATACCCGATGTACAGAGCCGAAAAAGTGTGTGGTTTTTTTTTTTTCCTGGCGCCCCCTAGAGATTACTGTGAGATGAATAGCAAACGCGTTAATCCTTGAAATAGAGAAAAGAGGGAGAAAATTAGTTCCTACAACCAAATTTAGGGTGGTGGTTACTTGGGGAGATAAAGGGAAAGAGACGGAAATGAGGATAAAATAGAGTGGTTCTCAAACATGACGGCACATAAGAATCATATGAACAGCATCTAAAAATCGGGATGTCCAGACCAAACCGCAAACAAATCCCATCAGATTTCTCTGGGTGTGTTCAGTGTACAGCCAGGGCAGAAGAACCGCTGACCCACGTAGTCACAAATGTTGGTCCCTTTCTCTGGTAGCCTTAGATTGGTGATGGGTTCAAGGTTTTCTCTCTCTCTGCATGTTTTATAACTCGTATGGGCTATGTATTATTTTTTGTACCAACTATTTCATTAAAAAGAAGTAAAATGGGGCTGGAGGTGTCAGTGGTAGAGTGTATGCTTAGCACGCTGAGGCCCTAAATTCAAACTCTAGCATTAAGCCGGGCATGGTGGTGCATGCCTATAATCCCAGCACTCGGGAGGCTGAGGCAAGAGGATCGTTGCAAGTTCCAGACCAGCCTGGGCTACAAAGTGAGCTCAAGGCCAGCCTGAACTGCATAGTGAGACCCTGTCTCAAAAAACAAAAACAAAACAAAACAAAAAAACTCCAGCATTAAAATAATTTTTAAAGGAAAAATATTCATTCATTCTCTCATTCTCCCATTCCTCATTTCTACATCCCTGCTGCAGTCAGGGTTTACAGGAGAAAAGATTTAATACAGAACACATAGTTTATAGGATCATTTTTATAATATTCACCCAAAGAGTCAGATGCAAAAAGAGTGCAGGAAATCTGTCCACACACTAGAAACCCAAAGAATCTAGCTGAGGGTCTGGATTCCACGGCAATGTCCTGCTGGAGTCCAGCTGAAGACCTAGACCCCATTGCAGTGTCCTCCACAAGTCCAGCTGGAGGCCTAGAGCCCACAACAGTACCTCATGCAAGCTTGTTTAACAGACCTGGCTGGGAAGGCCCAAAAGTCAGTGGTGGAATTCAGAAAGTCTGTACCAACAGGATGAAGAATCCGTGCCAGCAGGCTGAGGGATCTGCCCTGCGGCCAGGAAGCTACACTCAAAGTAAGAACCAGAGTTCCCCCAAGGAGAACCGCAGCCATCCTCAGCGACAGCGAGGACCCAAGCTCCACTGACAATGAGAACAGCTCAGTTCGTGTCAAGAAAACCAGCATGGGGCTGGGGATTTAGCTCAGCGGCACAGTGCCTGCCTGGCAAGCACAAGGTCGTGAGTTTGATTGCCGGTACAAGAAAAAAAAAAAAAAACAACAGCATGACAAGCTTCTCCAGGAGGATCTTCAGCACACCGTCCTCTCTTGCAGTTCTCCTTTTATGCTGTGGGCAACAGTCCTCAGCTGACCATTAGTTAATCCACCACAGTCCTGCATTCTTCCATCCCTTTATTTGTTTCTCTTGGAAACAATATAATATGCTATTTAACAAGATGCCCTCTGAGTCAGAAAGCCCAGGTTCCAACCCATACCATGCCAGGTGTATAGGCTTGGGCAGGTCATTTCGTCTCTCTGTCCTCAGCTTCCTTGTCTGTGAATTGACAATAACAACCGTCCCTCTTCCAGGAGGTGCCTGGAAGTGTTCATGGCCGCTGTCCCGCGCCGTACCCTCCGTGGACAGGGAGGCAGCACCCCACTGTGACCAGCCCAGAAAGAGCTGCCTGCCCAGCATGCTCGGTATGATCTGTTGACAGGACCCCTGAGTGCAGCGGGAACTCCAGAAATGGACGCATTGGATCTGGGAGACTTGGCTTCATCTCTTGATTTTCTGCCTCTTGGGAAAATTTTCTGCCTCTTGGGATCCTCCCCTCGCTGAGCCTCATTTTCCTCATCAGTACAACTGCTGAAGGACTGGATAAACTCCACCAGTGGGATTAATAGGGTTTGGACTTGACTGGCCTGCCAGAGGGAGCCATTCCTAAACAGCCCAGCCCTGGAGGCCCCAAACCAGGACCTCTGGGCCTCTTCTGCTGCCCGCTCCCCACAGCTCAACTTTCAACTTCCTTACACAGCTGCTCAGGAGCGTCTTTACACATGTCTTTTCCTTTGTTGCCCCCAGGTAACCTGTGAGATATTTTACTGTATCTTTTTTTGGGGAGAGTATTGGGGGTTTAACCTAGGGCCTTCACACTGAGCTACATCTCCAGTCTTTTTTTTTTGTCTTTTTGAGACAGGGTCTTGCTATGCTGTTCAGGTTGGCCTTGAGCTCACTTTGTAGCCCAGGCTGGTCTCAAACTCACAACAACCCTCCTGCCTCAGCCTCCTGAGTGCTGGGATTACAAGCATGCGCCACCACACCTGGCTTGTTTTTTGTCTTTTTGAGACAGGGTCCCACTATGCAGTTCAGGCTGACCTTGAACTCACAGCAATCCTCCTGCCTCAGCCTCCCAAGTAATGGGATAATAGGCATGTGCCACCGTGCCCAGATTCATTCTCTTTTGTTTTGATAACTAAGTAAATACTAGCTGCCCAGAAAAGATGTTGGTCTTAGCCCCCAGAGAATCTTGAATTGTTAAAGTGTTTTGATCCTCCTGGTGCCCTAAAAATGATACCCCATTGACTCTTTTATCTAAGCCTTGGCCATACACTCGTTTCAGAGATTGTGAGCCTGATCAGTCCGCAACAACCAAGGGATAATATTAACGTGTTATGGGTTGTGCTAAGTCTCTAAGTTGCCCAAGTTGGGCTCGAATTTGCATCCTCCTACCTCAGCCTCCCAGAGTTCTGGGATTACAGGTGTGTAGCACCACGCCAAGCTTACTGTATCCATTTTACGCTCACCTGAGCCTTAGAGAGGTGCCAGCACTTGCCTGAAATACCATTGGTCATAGGTGGTGGAGCCAGGATTTGAATCCAGCTCCATGTGCTTCCAGAGCCTGGGTCCTCTCTGTCAGTATGTTCTCTGCTGTGGTCCCAATGCCTGGTCCATAATGGGCACTGATTAAGAATGAAAAAGATGATTTGATCCCCATGTTTGAGTCCTTTCTTCAAAGCAAAAAATAAAACATGGTGTTGAAAGTGAGTAAAACAAAAAAATAACAATAAAGCTGGGCATGGTGGTACACCTGTAATCCCAGCACTTGGGAGGCTGAGGCAAGAGGCTCGTTGCAAGTTCAAGACCAGCCTGGGCTACAAAGTGAGCTCAAGGCCAGCCTGAACAACATAGTGAGATCCTGTCTCAAAAAAAAGATGTTTAGGGCCAGGGATACAGCTCAGCAGGACAAGCGCCTGCCTGGCAAGCGCAAGGTCCTGAGTTCGATTCCCCATACAAAAAAAAAAGAGTATAAACAACAAAAAAAAGATGTTTAAGGATCTTCATATGACTAAATACAATAATCAGTTCTCAGCCTGGATTTCACACGACTGAGCAGCAACATCCTTAAAAAAAAAAGAACAAACAGAAAAGGTAAAAAAAAAAAAAATTAAAAAAACACAACACATTGGCTTAGGAGTCCTAACAACGTGCGACCTTGTCACACTAGGTGCTTTATTTATTTATTTATTTTTGTCTTTTTGAGACAGGGTTTCACTATGTAGTTCAGGTTGGTCTTAAACTCACTTTGTAGCCCAGGCTGGCCTCGAACTCACGGCAATCCTCCTGCCTCAGCCTCCACAGTGCTAGGATTACAGGTGTGCGCCACCCTGCCTGGCTCAGTGCTGAGTACTTTAAGATGTGCTCTCTCTGCATGAGTGCCGTGGGGAAGAATCACCTGGAGAACTCTTCAAATCCTCATGCTTCAGTCCTCCACGGAGGACGAGTACCAATTTATTTCATTGGTCAGGAATGGAGTTTGTGTGTCTGCCTTTTTTTTTTTTTTTTTTTTTTTTTTTTTTTTAAGTAAACTTCTACTTGTAGAATACCTTCAGGTTTAAGAAAGGTTGCAAAGATGGTTCAGAGAGTTCTCATACCCTCAAACCCTCAGTGGTCAGTGTCCCCTGCTACAGGCATGTTGTGTGTCTTATGCACCTCTACTGAACAGAAGTCTCACAGGACCACAAAGAGCTAAGATCAAAGAGGCTCCAGGGGGCTGGGGATTTAGCTGAGCAGCACAGCGCCTGCCTGGCAAGCGCGACGTCGTGGGTTCGATTCC